GTTATTTGTCTCTTCTTAATGTGTTAATGAGGCGGGTTTGGTGTGTAAGTCAAGGCACCTCTTGGCCAGGGGCCGTGGACTCTGGATGAGAGCAAACCATACAGGACATATGCAGTTGAATTTGGAAGATTTAGTAACAAAACAAATTATCATATTGTAACTTAAGACTACACATTGTGCGTCTGTCTCGTATGCTGAAGTGAAATATATCCAGGAATCTGAAAATCAAACACCAGTTTCTGAGGATTGAAGGAGACTGTTGTCGTGTAACGTATATTATGGGGCAATATTTCTCATTAGCCTGATGCTTGAGCGTAAGTAATAAGTCATGACAATACAGTTCACAAAGGTATGATATGTTGGTTTTATACTCCGTTTATACCAAAGTTGGAAGCTCGAAATGAATATTTTCTTGTATTAAGTAAAGTACTGGAGAAGAGAAAACATGTGTTTGCTTTACGGAACAACTTTAATATAGCCCAACAACGGATGCCTAGACGGTGTATAAAGTCAATAACGATTTTATTTAATTATGTTGTAAATAGCCGTGTATTTTTCAAACATTGGAACCTGAAGCAATCGATCTACTTTGTATAGACTCATTTTCAACAGTAAGAAACAGGACAAGAGTCGAGTACAGTGATAGCAATATGCCTCTGTAACATCTCTATCAACAAATTTTAGAGATTTTTAATTTTGGCTTGGAATACGAACCGCCCACATAAAGGCTTTATTTTTTAATTATTATGATAACATTATTATTATTATTATTATTATTATTATTATTATTATTATTATTATTATTATTATTATTATTATTATTATTATTATTATTATTATTAGTGCATGCGTTCGCTAGCCAAGACCGGAGTCTTTCGTTATTAAATTAAAGAAACCTTTAGTTAAACCATATGTTTCTCGACTATTTGAGAAATTTAGATATACAGACGGAAACAAAAGATCAGTATATTCGAAATAAAGTATGACCGACAGAGGAGTGTTAATTCAAAGCAATATCCATGGCAACATGCAAAAGAGACCATTAAGAAGATGCGGTCCAAAATGATTTAAGCAATAGACATTCCTGTTACTAAACTATGACTAAATGATTTGCTTTATAAGTGGAAAGCGGTGTCCACCAGTTGTAAGTTATTGCTGGTGGCCTAAGTGCTAGAGTGTATAATTGGATATGTTAGCTCGAGTTCTCAAAATCGCACTAGCAGCTGCCTCGCTTGTTGCTCAATATTAAGAGGTTAATATTAGGACTGGCCGGCCTGTGTCTTGGTGGGACATGATGCCTTTTCTGTTATCACTGATGAATTGAAATGAGCAAATAATGATTGGTTTTAAATGTGCATCCATTGGACAGAATATATATGAATCACTCACGTATTACTTGCTTTCAAGTTTTCTGAAAATTCGAAAAAAGTTTAATAACTCGTCAAGTCGGAAGCTTATCTTGTTCTGGATGTAATTATTGCTTGTAAATCACGCTGTCCATTTCTGTTTGTTTTATTTATGTAGAATAAATAATGCTGGCAGGAAATTGCAACTTACTTAAAATGAACTATCATCTGAGCTGTCATCAACCTATATTATACAATATATTAATCCATTCAGATCAACTGTTTCACATGCTTATTAGATTATATTCATTAGGGAAAAAGGCATCGAACTTATGTTTGGAGCAAGTAGCTGTTCATCCTGTAGAAAGCGATATTTTTATGTATCACTTGTGCTCATTTCATTTGCATTTTAATATATTTAATGTATATCATTTTTTCTGTTTGGAAATAAGTATTTGCATATATTTTCACAAAGTTTCATTTAATAACTTATCTAATGTGGAAATAAAATATGTCAGTGTCCGCATAACAGAGCATTATTTACAATTAAATTGTTGTTTCTTTATAACCAAAGTTTGACTACTTCTAGCAAAAGTAGAGAAAAAATTGTTTTTCCGGTTAAGTAGACATCCAGGGATGTGTTCGGGCTGACGAATATATGTAAATGAAACATATGTTCAAGTGCAAACTACGATGGATTCAATGACGACAGAAAATAATGTACATCAATCCAGCGGCTACTGGCAATATTATAAAGATAATATTTTATTTACTTACTTGCCAATCAGTTATGAAAATTATCTCTAAAGGATAGAGCGTTAAAACCCGAGTCTATTTATTTATTTATTTATTTATTTATCTATCTATCTATCTATCTATCTATCTATCTATCTATCTATCTATCTATCTATCTATCTATCTATCTATCTATCTATCTATCTATCTATCTATCTATCTATCTATCTATCTATCTATCTATCTATCTATCTATCTATTTATTTATTTATTTATTTATTTATTTATTTATTTATTATCTTATGTAGTTGTCAATGCTTGACAATTTGAAAAAGTTGTTGGCGGAGATTGGGACTGATCAGACCAAAGCTGGAAGGATGAGAGTCTCGTCACAACTGAGTCGTTCGAAAACAGTTTTATCTGCAGAAATAAACAAAACCCACATCAACTGCTTTTCATAAATACAAAACCCCCTCCAAAAAAACGAAATT